TATTCTGAGAAACTAGCCATCTGGCATCCGTAGTTACCAAGACAACAGGTCATGGTGACCTCGTCTCCATGATGTTGCCTGTACTTTAAAGTTCTTACTCCAGAGTAAGGGTTGGGATTTGGTGTCTGTCTGTTGAGATGTGGGTTCCTGTACAAGGCAATAAAAATCCCTGAGGCTGCAACTAATGCGTCTGATTCTTAACTGATTCTTTTAATCTGTATACTTTGAATTTACTTGATGTTTCTGATTAATCAGCTGTTTTTCTTTGATTCCTTGTCAAGAATCGGTTTGTCTTGTCACAGTCTCAATAAATCTTGCTAATCTGAACTTTGATAAACCTGTTTGCATCACAACAATTGTCGTTTGGTTATTGTTAAAGATTTCCTCAACATTTTTTTCTTCAGTCAAAACTATGTTCACGAGATGTAACAGTCATCCAGAAAAGTGCTGTAAAATCATATTTGCTCTGCAGGAAATGCTTGCTTGAGGCATGTTTGACTCAAATTGGCTTGACCAACGTACTGCCTCGTAGCTCTGATAGGTTAACAAGAATAACTTGTGCCGATAACTGAAACAGAAGAGCCAAAACCCAATATGGTCAGACTCAGACTACAGCTTTACTATCTCCCAGCATCCTCCTGCGTCTTACCTGTCATAGAAGTCTTCTCTGTAGTAATCATAGTCGAACTCATAGCCGCTGGGGGGAAAAGTACAACAGAAAATAGTGACTGTACAAAACAAATGTGATACAGTGCTTTTCATAGCACGAGCATGGAACCACATTTTAAACAACACATGGGAACAAAAGCTTTTTGGGTACAGAGTTGCCAAATCAATTTAAAAGTAATGCATCAAAGGGGCAATCATTACAAATAGAGACAAAGAAACCACAACATAGTTCATCTCACCCCAAGAGACGGAACGAAAGACATAATAGTCACAATGCAACCAAATGGGAATTCTTGAAAATAATGCACAGTACATTCAATGTTAAGACATTTTACAAGTGCTGTTAACATTTTAAATTCAATTATTTAGTGTAAGCAAGACATGAAGTCAAACAGCTCTTTAGGTAAAACATTAAAGCACAATATACCTTTGTAGAAAAAAAAATATGAATTACATTTTACATCAAAATTGATTCCACTGAAACAAAAGACAGCATGTGATCACCACATCAACAAATCTGGATCTGGATCTTGGCTAACTTTGCATTTCTATAGAGCATTTGGTTCTCACCTTTTGAACTTTTCTTTTCAAAACTTAGCTTCATCATTTCTGAATTTTTGTCCTCCATCTTTACACTCATGAAGGAACAATGTATTGCAACAACAAAACAGCAAATCCTTTTCTTCTTCCTTATTGTACGAACAGGGCGATGACCTTTAAACCTAACATGAGCAGTGCTGCTGTACCGTTTCTAAACCTGCCAAAGAGTCCGATTTTTAAATACATTATTAATGGTGTCGGACATGAAAACTGTCCAAACGAGTACTCAGACAGTTGTAGGTTTAACATATAGGTAGGTGATATTGCGACTCCCACATCTTTTCAATACAAGAAAAACTCTGAAGCTGATAACCACCATAAAATCTGTTCATTAAAACAAATAAAGTGTGTAAGGTACAAAAATGCACCTTACAGACAGTAAACTAATATTCTCCAGCAACAAAGAAACTTGTAAAAGGGGATTCTCATACAAAAGTGAGACAGCCTTTAACAAATGAGGACTGAGACATTTAAAAATAGACACCTGAGACTCCTTTGGGGTGTTATTTTTACAAAACACTTATAAATTCCTAAAAATCCTCCAAGAACTTGTTAGAAATTTGAGTGAAAGACTGAGTGACACAGTGATCAGCTCAACGATCATGTTGTACCTGTAGAGAGAAGCTGCAGATCGCTTCAGGCCTTTGGGTCTGTTTGGCTTCGGTTCTCCTGCCATGTTGATGTCTGCAAAAAGAGGGCAGAACTTTTAGGAAGAAAT